CGATGCGGGATTCGCGAGATTAATGTAACCAATTTCCGACGAAATTTCCGACGAAATTTAAAAATTTGTCGGAAAATTCGTCGGAAATTGGTTACATTAATTTCTCGCGAATCTCGTAAATGTAGAGGGAAAGTTACTTGGTTTGAAATTCCCGCTGCATTGTTTCCGACGAATTTCCGACAAATATGGTCGTCGGAAATTCTTATATATATACGACTCACAGATTTTTGCCTCTTACGCACTTATCACTCTTATAAATCTCTCTACAATATCTCTCTAAAATCTCTCTACAAAATCACTCTAAAATCTCTCTAAAATCTCTCTGTGATAAACAAACGTTAAGGTAAGATGTTTAGTTTTATTTTCTTCATAATTTTGTTTATAAAATTCAAAAGACTAATTATAAATTTTTTATTTGATTAAGGAGATGGATAATGGATCGTGGAGTGGATATATGTCGTATTGCAATGAACGTGGGTTTGCTCCGGATTTGAATCTTGGTTCCGAAACCCAACCACCGGAGGATTTTCCCATGGAGGACACGGAAGTTCCGGAGACGGAACCATTGGCGATGCCTACACGGAATGATGATGCAAATCCACTCGATTCTATGACGCTAGACCAATTCCTCCGTGCTCCGGGTCGAGATAAATTGAAAAAGATCGACCCAAGCCGTATGCACGGAACAACTTGGTAAGAAATTGTATTATTTAATTTATAGTTTTACGTAGATAATCTTAATTAAATAATTTGGTAATTATAGGTATCGATTCGATAAAGGATTCACAAAGATTATCAAGAAAATCATGGAGAGCGATTTCCCCGATCCCGCTCTGAATATTACGTCGGTCTCCGGAGACACAAAGAAACGTTGGTTTAAGGCATTTGCGGTTAGTTTATTTAAATAAAATTTATGCTTTATTTACTTTGTTTATAATTGTAGCTAAAAAAATTAAATTTTAAAATTTTACAACACTAAAAATATATATATTTTAAATTGTTTAACATTGTAGCAAAAATTTAATTGGGATTATGGTCTTACGGGCGAAGTACAAGAAAAATTTGAGGAGATATGTGGGGTACGTTTATTGGATTATGTTTATGGATGGAAAAAGAAATGGCTTAACGGGAAAGAAAAGCCAAAATGGATGCGAGAAAACGTTTGGCAAGGGCTTATTGCATATTGGTTACAAGAGCAAAATAAGTCCCGTAGTGAAACTAATTCTCAAAATCGCAAGAGTGAACGCGGAGGCTATGGCATGGCTAAACATACTTGTGGATCAATGCCATATGTCCGGAAAAAGGAAAAAATGGTAAATAAAAATTTAAATTTTTTACATTTCAATTTGCATTATAATAAATTTTATTATAAATTTTTAACTAATAAATATTTTAAATGCAAGCGTAATCCCGAAACCGGTGAGTATCCCGATATGGTGACATTCATGGAGGAGACTCACAAACGGAAATCGGACGGGACATTTGTTGATAAAAAAGCTGAGGCAATAGCTCGTCGATGTCGGGAGATGGAGAAAGAGAAACTCACACAATTGAGTCAACAATCAGACACGCCCGATGATTATCAACTCACCCAAGCAGAAAAAAACGATATTTTCCGATCGGTAAGTAATAGTAATTAAAATATTATAATTTAGATAATATGTTTTATTTCCTAACAACATTTTCATTATAATAGCAAGTTGAAGTTAAAAAAGGACGTAGATTTGGATACGGTTCCATTCCGTATGACGAAGACATGGGCGGAAGTTCGTCGTATTCACATGCACACGTGAATTGTCAAGAAAACGCAGCCGAAATCATCGAGTTGAAGACTCAATTAAAAGATTGTAAGTTTTGGATGGATATGATGGCCCGTCTTCATCCCGACATCGTTCCGCCTTCTCGCCAAGATCAACCCGGAAATCAAAATGAAACAAATAACGTTGACACTCTATTTGATAATATATAATATTCGCGTTTGTAATAATTTTAGTTGTTTAAGAACTTATTAATGTTTAATTATGTTTTTTTTTTTAATTATGTTTTTATATAATATTTGTGTTTGTTTTATTGAATTATTACAATTAAATTAAATTAATATTATTTAATTTAATTAATTATATTAATTAACAATAAAATATAAATATATTTTTTTTTAATAAAATATAATATTTCGTCGGAAATTCATCGGAAAATAATAAAAAAATACGATTTGTCGGAAATTCGTCGGAAACTATTAAATATATTATTATATTATATTTTGTCGGAAATTCGTCGGAAACATCCATTCGTCGGAAATTCGTCGGAACGTTCCGACGAACTTCCGACGATTTGTGGTCGGAAAATCGTCGGAATCGTACTCGATCTTGCGGCGTCGTTTGTCGGAATCTCCTCGGAATGGCGTCGGAATATGCCGTCGGGATATCGTCGGCAATTTTCCGTCGCTATTCCGACGGACATTTCCGACACCTTTCCGACGGGCTTTCGACGAATATTTCCGACGATTTTCCGACAAATATTTCCGACGAATTTTCCGACAAATCATCTCGACAGAAATTTCCGACGAATTTCCGACGAATATTGTTTTCCGACCAGAGAATTCCGACAAACTTGGTGTAGTCGGAAATTCGTCGGAAACATCCATTTCCGACGAATTTCCGACTATTTGGTTTGTCGGAATTTGCTATGTTTTCTTGTAGTGTTCTTACACATGCATAATGACAATTTTGCTGGTTAGAACAACGTTTTAATAAGGAGAATAACATTGATGCTCCTTCATACGATCGACGAAGCAAAGCTCTATACAATGAATGGGTTGGACTCTTCCGAACACTGCTTGCGAGTTGCGATGCAAAAAAAATCCTTGTCACCATAACACCCTTGCAGCAATTCATTAGTCTATTTATGAGTAATACGATACATTTTTGCAGAACCATAACACCCTTGTCACCACTAACAAGTAACAACACGTCAACACCTTTTTTTCAATCAGGATGAGCAACCGGCGTGAGATTTTGGACCGATGGAATTTTGGTATGGCAAAGCTAGGAGTAATCTGATAAATCTCTAGGAAGAAAAACATAAAGGCGAAGTGGTTGTGACCATTTTTACCATGAATTTTTCTGTGAAAAGGTTCATCGGAGTGACTAGTTCTTGGGCACGATAAAATCGCTGTTGCAAGCACTATATGATAGTGTATTGGAATGTCCAAAACATAGTTTGTTTGAATGAAAAATTGAGGTCCAAAATAACTAGCTTGAATAGCTTGGAATTTTGACTTAAAGTCAAATTGTATAATTTGAAAGTTAGAAGATATATAGATCTAAACATACATAGGTTAGAGTTGAAATTTGAGATTTAGGAAATGGACATACAATCCATATATTTATCTGAAATTTACCTAGTTTGACCCAAATCTTGGGAAAAATATCTAGATTAACACCCAAATATTGTGGTTTACTAGGATAACTAGATAACAACCTGCACTATGTGCGGGATAAAGTGATTTAAGTAAAATTATTATGATTATAATTTTTATCCGGGATCCAAGATCCGTTAGTGTAAAACGAAACATGTAATAATTTTTTTTTTCTTTTTATTCAAATTTGGGACTATTTCGTATATGAATACGTTTTACCCGTGAAATATTTGAACCTTGAATAAAGCTTCAACGTGAATACGTGATAAAGAAAGTATTGACGAAATATTACCATTTATGCCAATATGTCTTTCTATATCTTTTAAAGATGTCGAGAATGATAAAAAAAAAGATATCGAGATTCAAGTATAAGAAATCCAAAAATTTATCAAAGATGAGATTTGATAGTTTCGAAGTTAAGATTTTATAGTGTTCCAAATTAAGATTTTTAGATTATGAACTACGAAATGGTTATAATGTGACCAGATTTTAGTTTATAAATAAATGTGGTTAGTTTTTCTTCAAAAAGTTAGAATCCCTCCAAAAAAATCGGATTTTCATTATTTGTAATATATATTGAAAAGAGATTATCTTATGTATTTAAGTACAATAGATAAATAAATTTCTGAAATATGTAGAGATTTTGTAGTTTTGAATTCGAGATTCTTGAACCAAATGTATATATTTTAACATTTAAATATAAACATAAATATAAATATAAATTAAATACAAAGATTGTTTGCCCATCTGCTTGAGAAAATTTATATAAATCTATATAAAGAAAAATATAAATATAAAGATTT